TTCTTCCATGTCTTTCTGGTGTCACCACGCTGATGCCGATGGCCACATCATTCTTCTTATATCTTCAGGTTGTACTTGCTGCGTTAGCTCACAGCACTTTGCACAACTTACACTTAATAGAAATGCTAAACTGGTCTACAAGGTCAAAATAAAGCACAGCAAAATACTGTGCACTAGAGTTTAGCAGGGTTTGTTTTCAGTCTAATTATCCTTACAACAGCCTTAAATCCTCATCTTTGTAACAGCCACTGCGGCTCCTGTTTCCATCATTTACATTACTGGGTTTTCATTTTTGTTGTCATTCATTTCAAGAGTGTCAAAATAAAGCACAGAAAAATACTGTGCACTTGAGTTTAGCAGGGTTTTTTCAGTCTAATTATCCTTACAACAGCCTTGAATCCTCATCTTTGTAACAGCCACTGTAATTAACATTACGGAGTTTTCATTTTCATAATCACTCATTTTAAGAGTAAAGCAACAGTTTCAAGACAAATTAGGGAAAAAAAACAAGTAGTATGAAAAAATCAACCTGGTTGATGTCCTTCAAATGGGTCTGTGCATTGTGCATCCATTCCTCATTGAAGACCTTCACACCTTTTGAGATCTTCAGGTTGTACTTGCTGCGTTAGCTCACAGCACTTTGCACAACTTACACTTAATAGAAATGCTAAACTGGTCTACAAGGTCAAAATAAAGCACAGCAAAATACTGTGCACTAGAGTTTAGCAGGGTTTGTTTTCAGTCTAATTATCCTTACAACAGCCTTGAATCCCTATCTTTGTAACAGCCACTGCTGCTCCTGTTTCCATCATTAACATTACTGGGTTTTCATTTTTGTTGTCATTCATTTCAAGTGTCAAAATAAAGCACAGCAAAATACTGTGCACTTGAGTTTAGCAGGGTTTTTTCAGTCTAATTATCCTTACAACAGCCTTGAATCCTTATCTTGGTAACAGCCACTGTAATTAACATTACAGAGTTTTCATTTTCATAATCACTCATTTTAAGAGTGAAAACAACAGTTTTAATACAAATTAGGGGGGGAAAAAAGCAGTATGAAATAATCAACCTGGTTGATGTCCTTCAAATGGGTCTGTGCATTGGGCAGCCATCCCTGGTTGAAGATCTTCACACCTTTCGGAGGTCTTCTTATATCTTCATTTTCTTCTTTGACCAAAAGCATGTCGGGGAAATTTGAGGTAGTTTGGGGCGACGAGGAGGAGTATCCACTTGGGCAGAGAAACGCTGCTTTCCAAAAACGCATTGCCGAAATCAGACCTAATCCCTGTGACCATTTTAAAGTTTCCCTCAGGAAGTTAAATTTTAATTCAAGTGAACTCTCTTTTTTGTTTTGGTAAATTTGTTGATTTACACGTTTTTGAGGACCGAGTTGCTATTTTGTTTAATTAAATCTGATAGTAGACTTGTTTTTGGGGTCTATATTGCTGCACTGGTTGATCGTTAATGGTGGGGATTCTTGTTTTTGTGGTTTTGGAAGAGAACAGTTTCTCTCCACAATTGCATCACCAAAACAGAGCAAAACTAGACAAAAATCTGCTTCTCTGGAAGAGAACAACTTCTCTCCACTATTGCATCACCAAAGCAAACCAACACTAGACCAAAACCTGCAAACCCAGAAGAGAACACTTTCTCTCCACAATTGCATCACCAAAACTAGACCAAAACCTGCTACTCGGGCAGAGAACAACTGCACTGCTTCATCGTTCATGGTGGGGGTTTTTGTTGGTGCGGTTGTTGTCAAACCAAAAGCAAACTGACCTCCAGTGTCCCTCGTTGATGGTCTGTCCGTGGAGTGAAGTAGTCAATGTCTTACCTTACAGGGTCCAGGCGTTGGCCGGTCATGAGTTCTGCCTCAGTTTGACCTGATCTGGCGTAATTTCAGCTCCTGGTTAACACACAGAGAAATACACAACCATCAAACCTGGCGTAATTTCAGCTCCTGGTTAACACACAGAGAAATACACAACCATCAATTTATTTATGTCCTATACGCTATTTATAAATGATTTAAATATTAATAAACTATCTGCTTACCATTCATAAATGGTCAATTTACCATTTATAAGTTATGGTTATTGTGAAGTGTTACCAGTCATTTTAAAACACCTCATGTTTGCATGATGGTTGGCAGCCATGCTCCAAATCAGACCATTTAAAGACTATTTTCAAGCCACATCTTTATTTTCCTTCTGGGCTTATAAAGTTGCATCCCTGCCTCAGTCTCACCTTTGGCCTCCGTGGACTGGAGCCATCTGAGAGGACATGAAGTCAGCTAGGGTCTGAGGAACATGCTGGAAAAAAAACAAACAAACACAGAAGCACACTTAGTACACACCAACAACAGCACTTTCTACTGCAGACTCAGGGTACACTAAGACAGATCTGAATGAGCAGTTTTGCTGTTTCACACTGGGCTTTGAGATCTTATCGTCTTTAATATAGTCAGAAAAATAAGAATAAGGCCAAATGCAGTCTTTTGAACATTATATTCATGGCACCATCATGTAAACCTTAAAACAAACTTATTCATTAAAGTAAAACACTTAAATGTTTTTATAGGTGTCATGGATTCATGTTTAGGGTAGCTGTCAGAGGATTTTATGGTCCAGTGGCCTGAATAACGCCATCTGCTGGACGTTTAGTGTACATACACACACCCTCTGCAAGCTACAACTTGATGCCAGAGTGGAAATTTACTGGAAAAAGTCTTGTGTTTAACTTTGTTAGTGCTTAAACACGTCAGGACTGTATGATAATCCCATGAAAATAAAAGCTTTTTAAATATGAAAGCGTGCCTAAGACCATTTTGTTCAAACATTAGCTCAGTAGAGATTGTATATGCCTGTAGATTCATCAATATAAAAATCAATCATTAAGCTTTTAAAGCTTTGCATACTTTTGGCTCAATTTAAGGAAAAAAAAAACAACAACCATATGAGTCGAATTTTTCGAGTAAATTTCGGCGAAGCGCGTATTGAAGCTTGAGTTGATGACGTATGTGATAACGTTTGAAGCCTCGCGAGCCGATGTTATGCCGCGGAATGCATCCCCTCCACTCATTAGCTTCTTACAGTGGGAGATTATGATCTTTTATTTAAAACAAAACACGAGTATTAGATCATGACAACATGTCAGCAGCAGCAAACTTTCCCTCTGTTTTTATGTGTCTAAAAAATGCACATAGAGAGGTGTACTTGGGTATATAAACTGTACAGTACGCTGTTAAGGTAGAGAACATTATATTTTCGGGACAGCAAATATTCCCAATCAGAGGGCTGTTGTTTTCGGCTTATTTGGACAACCTGAACAAAATCATTAAAGGCATACACTTTTTAATTCAACCAATGGTATGGAAAACTTTCGCCTTGTTCTGTACTTTGAACCGCGCTTCCGCCAGGGGGTGCATTTTACGGCAGGGGTGCAATCTACGGCAGAACACCAGTCGTACCACGTGACTGATTCAGGAACCGGCTCGCGGTTTTGGCGGGTGATTTAAAATCTACAGGCAGCGAAACGCGACGGAGTACCGCTAAAAGTCCGAAGACTTGTTATTTGTTGTTTTTTAATGAAAGTGAATGAAACATTAACGTGTTCGATGCTGTCCCCGTAACAAACGCACAGTCACAAACCGAGTTACACGCAAGCACATTCACATCACAACTGTCTCCATTACTATGTATGTCCTGTTCCCCTTTTCACCCTGCTACTGCGTCGTAAAGACAGACAAAATATCAATAACTTAATAATTTCTGTATCGATATCTCAAACACATGGCGTCACATTCATTCATTTATTCAATTCAGAAATTCGCACACCAAAGTGGGTGTCTCTGTTAATCACTCTGCCTGTTTTACATTTATTGTCCACGATGGCACAGTTGAGCAAATGCAGTTTTAGTCCGGAGTAAAGCAAATGCGTGGAAATAATGATTCAAGTGGCTTCATGTCACGATCACCCACTGAGTCCTTACCTGTGCTCTGGACGAAGATGTTGCTTCCTCTCAGTTTGCTGGCGAATGGCCCGATAGCTTCAGGTGACCCTCTTTTGAACCCTGTGACCACTCCCACGGGGCGTTATTAATTACATAATTTCAAAAAAACCGAAATTTTCTCACCATCTAAAAGCAGTTTATTCCTCTACCCACTGAGCAAAAGACGTATATTAGACGTCTAGTCTAAATTTATTCTTCATTTCAACGTCGGGATTCGGTCTATTTTTAGACGTGATTTAGACTATAAATGTATACGTCATTTCAACGTCTACATATAGACCGAATCTAGACAATCGATCTTAATCCACAATTCAAGAGTTGATTATTTAAAATGATAACTGAACGTTGCAGAATTGATCTCAATCTACTACTATCATACTCCTGAGCGTAACCAGTCTTTTCGCCATATCCGGTCAAAACGCATATACGGCAAAAAAAAAAATAATATAAAAAAACAACTTCGGATCTTAAAGCCTGGGTCCTGCTGAGCACTCGACAACAAAGTTGGTCGCTGAAATTCAATTTGATTATTAGATTTCATGTGTTTCATCCGTCTCGGTAAAGCCGGCTGCCACCGTGACAATAATCCAGCCACCTTATTGGTGAAGCACGCTCACGTGATCCACCGTGCACCCACTTCGGGTAGATTCTTATTCCGCCAAGAGCGAAGTAGTCCATGATAAAAGTTATCGGCATAGCCGCAATACTACGAGATGAGCGACAAAAAAGTATTTGGTAGCTCTGCAAGAGCCCAGCTTAACACCCGTATGGAGATAGGCTTATTCTTGGGTTTGCGTACTGCTACCACCTTTTTCTAACGAGGTTTAGCAGACAATCACATTTGTCGCTTTCAATCTCCACATACACTTCCCTTTCCCCGCCATGTGGTGGCAGTAATGCTTTTTAACACTGTCTTCGAGCTTTGAGCCAAACCAGAGTAGAAGAAGAAGTACTCAAACTCACCGACCACTACAACGAAGCTGGCGTAATGGCATTGAGAGCTGCTTTGAGGAACAAACGCGGCGCTTTAGGTGTGTAAATACGTGTTATAGCTGCTATATGTCGGAGTGTCTTTACAAATGCATGAATCAACATTTTTGATAGTCTTTTTAACGCAGTTGCTGAGGTGATCTTGCTGTTAGCTGTGTAAGCTCTGTGTTAAATGCAGGAACTGGGACAAAGGTCGCAGGACACTTGCAGGGTCTCCCTGTGTTTGCCTGCTCTGTCAGTCTGTACCTAACACTGTGTCAGCTTCAACAACCAAATATTTAGATTGTAGACTCAGTAAACTAGGACTCCAGCAAAAAGCCTCTTCTTCCTATTCTATTCTATTCTATTCTATTCTATTCTATTCTATTATAATCAATTCTATTCTAATCTATGTCTGTCTTTAAAACGAGCAGTTAGGGTTGATGGATCTAAGTTTCTGCTATTTGTTGCTTTTCTTAAAATGTCTCAGGAACATGTCTTTTAAATCCCATATCTATGATTCCTCTCAGAGCTAGTGTGAACACCACTCATAATCTTTCCCATTTGACCATGAAAACATAACAGGTGTCAATAAAAATCAAAACTAGTTCACCAGCATCAAATTGATGTGAAACAACAGATCAACATACTTGATTGATATGTTAGTCTTAGTTTGTTCTACAGACCAGACCATAACACTTTCTGTGTGTGTGTGTGTGTGTCTGTGTGTGCTCCTGTGTAGGTCTTCTGTCCCAGCTGTCCAGTGGTAGTCATGGCCAGGTGCGTACATCTCCTGCCTTCGTCACTCAGCGGAGAAACAACTCCTCCTCACCTCAGGTTAAAGTGGACTTTGACCAGAGCACAGGTAAAGATTTCACCCTCATATCTTAATTCTTCTGAATCCCTCCTGTCACATTTGGAACTGTGATTTTTGCTGGGTTTTGATAACAAACTCAAGGATGTTGACGGATCAGGATATCTTTACCTCTACAGGTGTGGCCGTGCTGCACATGCAGAGTCCACCCGTCAACAGCCTCAGCTTAGATTTCCTCACCGAGTTCTGCATCAGCGTGGAGAAGCTGGAGATGGATAAAAGCTGCAGAGGCCTCATTATCACATCGGTATGGCCAAACTCTGTCCTTTACATTGGCAGTCTTTCTGGAGGTGGATAAGAAGTGTCTTTGTGTTTACATTGCCAGGAATTGTAAAGTTTGCTGATGTGATGATTCAATTTTCTTGATTGTCTCTTCAACCCAGAGCCAGCCAAAGGTGTTCTCAGCCGGTCTGGACATCATGGAGATGTATGGAAAGAGTCCGGAGCGCTGTGGAGTGTTTTGGAAAGCAGTTCAGGAAATGTGGCTGAAACTCTACAGCTCCAACATGGTCACCATTGCTGCAATTAATGTGCGTACAAACCATCCTTAGTGGGCTGTTATGTTTCATGAATGATGCCTGAGGGAGGGAAAAATCTGCACATTTGCACTTAACTAGAGTGGTGTTTTGGTTGAGGTTTGTTTATGGCTCCTCAGACCGCTGTGTATTGCTATTCTGCGGTTGTTTCTAAAGTTGGTTCATCTAAATTCATCTCTAAATTAATTTTATGCCACAATATCCCTTTAACTGTTTTGTTTTTGTGAAATCCCGTAGAACACTGACATTAATAACTTTTGCATCTGTCATGCTTTTATGTCTTATATAATTCTTGGCATGTTTGTCTCTTGTCTTTCAGGGTTCCAGTCCTGCAGGCGGCTGTCTGATGGCTTTGACTTGTGACTACAGAATAATGGCAGACAACCCTCGTTTCAGCATTGGCCTTAATGAGACCCAGCTTGGCATCGTAGCACCCTTCTGGTAAGGACTTCTCAGTCCGAGAACAGCCAGCGCAGTAGTGGTGATGTACAGGAGTAAAAACTAATGCTGCTGTCTGCAGGTTTAAGGACACCCTTGCCAATACAGTGGGCCACAGAATCACAGAGATAGCCTTGGAGCTGGGGTTGCTCTACAACCCCACAGAGGCCCTGAAAATTGGAATGGTGGACCAGCTGGTCCCTGAAGACCAGGTCCTCACTACAGCCACACAGACCATGAAGAAGTGGTTAGCTATCCCAGGTAAATTCAGACTACCTCAAGATCTCCAAGTGAGAGGTTTACATGACCACAATTAGTTTTCATTGACATTCACTCTGATTGAACAGAATCTACTTGGCATATTTCTTTGTTTATTGCTCAAAATGAAATATTGACCAGTGGCGATCCACTAAATTCAGTCTTTGGAATCACTAATACATCATTTTTGTATCTTTTCACTTCACAGACCATGCAAGACAGATCACCAAGTCCATGATGAGGAAGCCAACCATCGAAAAGCTAGTTTCCAAAAGAGAGGCCGACATTCAGAACTTTGTGGGCTTCATCACCAAGGAGTCCATTCAGAAGTCGCTCCGCATGTATATTGAGATGCTTAAAAAGAGAAAGGGCTAGAAGAGAGAGAAATGGAAGCTAAAGAAAAAACAGATACCTACACATTTAGAGGGATGTTTTGACACTGGTGGCCTTCTGTTTGAATTATCTATTGGTGTTCAGTTTCTCACATGAAGCCTTTTCTAATATTATTGTTCAACCAACAAGTCAAAAACTAGATACTGTGCTAATGATTCAACAAAATGACAACGTTTGAAAAACAAATATCAAGGTAATCTAATCCAGAATTAAAATAATAATTTACACTCTACTACACACTGCAACATCTGAGTGTGTTACACTTTACAATGACCTTGAACTCAGCTCCACTACAGCTGTTGTTGCGCCTGTCGAGCCTCCTTTGTCACCCTCATTGTAAATGTGAAGTCTACTTAAACAGAGGCACTTCAAATTTTCAGTATTTTTTTACAGATGAGAAAAAAACTAAAGCCACACTTCAATAAATTTTTTCCAACAATAACAAAGAAGTGGGTTTTGTTTGTTTAAAAGTCATCCAGACTTCACTTGCTAATGTGAGCGAGTGCTGGTGCTAAAGATGATTAAAAAACTTTCATCCAAGCTGATTTCTTTCTGGAGAGGACAAGGGTTTTTTTTTCTCTTGAATCTCACATATAGCTCCTTAAATTGTGGATCACGGCCAATGTTACAAAACTACATGATCCTTGACTTTGCTGCCAGGTGAGCTGGGCTTACTAATGTTTCAAACCCATTTTGGAGATCATGCACATTTAATATCCCAGCATCAAACTGATTAAAATTCTGGATTTGTCTTTCATGCATACATGTTAAGAAAGCCGGAGCTCGGCAGACCATACCTGACCTTGATATACCTTGAATAGATATCGTGGGAGTGGTTTGGTGAAAGGTTAATAACTGTAACTGATAGGCCCTCACAATAATCTGCCAAGTCTAATATACCATCAAGAACTACAACAGCCTCGCAAGTCAGCTAGGTTGCTACTCTTTCACCCTCTGGCCTTTCTAATTTGCAACTTGTAACTGCAATCATTTTCTGACTCTTATTTGTGCATGTACATGGTTACAAGCTTGATCAATGTAGTTTTGTTTGTTCTCATCGAGAAATCAAGTCTTGCTTTACCAGGGTGAGCAGCAGGGTCAGCTTCATGTCAGTTTTATGTGCCAAGAGCTTTGATCCTAATAAAATTCTGGTGAGTCTATTTGTGTTGGTGTGGGTTCAAACACTGAAGAAATCACTAAAGCAGTGATTTATTTTGGGATCATGTCTTAATTCGTACAGGTTATATGTGGTGTCTGGATCTAATCATAGGTGATGCTCAAAAGAGATTTTTCATGACACTCTTTTCAAACAGTCTGTCCCAAAAAGCAAGTATGTAATGAAAAACTCTGGTATACTTGTTTATTAAGATCTTGTTGTTTATGATTTCACAGTTTTACAGTTACTTTATGGTGTACTCAGCTGAGACTGAACCTAGAGGCCCTTCTTAAAAGGTCAAAGAAGTCAAGATTCAGGCTACAGGAGCCAGCTTCACCTCCACAGGATAATGATCACTGACGGCCAATGCCTGGAAGACAGACAGGAAACATCGCAGGAAGTTTAGTCGCTTTTGGCTCTCTGTAGATAAGCTAGTGCAGCTTCTTCTGTCTACCTGCTGATGTGATGGGAAAAAACAACACTACTGCACATGTCACTCCACAAAACTCACAGACTTTCAGCCAAATCAGCTGACAAGTTAAAAGTAACACTCAGAGTTTCAATACCAACTATTAACTCCACACATAGCTCTGTACAACTGGTCAGACTGATGTCAGCGGACAACAGAAGCTGAGATGACTGATTTTGAGTGTTTTATCCACAGACCTGTAGATAAATCATTCTGTGGCAGTCTACCTCTAAGTTATAGTTTCAGACCACAACAGTGCAGCATTTATTTGAAATCTGCCAAGGTCATAAATTCTATTTTATTCCATTCATTTGATTCCCAAATCATGACATTGGTGACAATTTCTTTACTTCTCCTCACTATTAAGAAATAAACTGTTTTGCAAAGCAAAATGAAGAAATTTAAACACACAGTTGGTTGATTTCATAAAATGTTTTACAGCAATACTTAGGAAATAAATTCTGATGAAAAAATAGCTTTACCAAACAGTCTTTGATAGTCCTAATTGATTTTTGTAGGATGTAACATTTACCATAATATCACTATAATGTAATTTTACCCAATGCATCTACACAAGTGTGATAGGATAAAACATCTTTGTTACTTTTATATCAACAGAGGTTTCCTTAGAAGAACAGTGATACCACACTACAAGGATACAAAGACAACAAAAAAGTTTTGAGTCTCAGCCTTCTGTGAGGGGCAACTTTCTTCTCCAGATGCACTGACATTAGAGCTTTGCTTACCAGACTGAGGCTGAGATCCAAGTCTTCCATGAAGTCGTAGACCTGGGCGCTGCCATACACCGTTCCCTCCTTCATGTCATCTGTGACCACAATCCTGCAAATATAGAAAGAGGGAATTCAGAGTTCATGTAAGTGTGTGTATGCAAGTGTCTGCTTGTGTGTGTTTGTGTTTACCTGTCATAAGGGCAGTTAGTGTGTGATACTGTAGTGTCAGCCTCATCACCAATGAGCCAGTGAAAGCTCTTATCAGTGAAGAGCCGGATCTTGTCCCAGTCTGAGCCTGACACATAATTACACCCGGTATTAAAGTCACCCAGCAGCACGATGTCCTGAAGCAAGAGGAGAACAGTTAAATCACTCTCACCCCTCGTACATACTTAAATTTAGCACTTTCTGCATTCTCCTCTATTTATTAAAGTTTCCTTTAGTTTGTGTCTGTGTTTGTGTAGTAGACCAGTGTATTCACATTGGTGTTCCAGCGTGCACGGACATCAGACACCACATCGTACAGTTTGTCTGTCTCCTCCAAAGCAAAGTCTGGAGAGGTGTGCTGAGGGATCAGGACAAAGTTCCTCACAGCTACAAAGCAGGAAGGAAGGATGAAAAGGAGAGAAGAAACCAGAATTTTGGATACAGCAAAGCTTGTTGTAAAAAGTGGCATGTAACCTCTACGATAGAAATAAAAAGTTGCAGAGATTTCATGAAGGGCAAGGTTGCTTTTATCTCCGAATCATATTGGGTCAAACTACCAGGTAAAGACCAAAGGATTATGTTTTTTTCTTTCAAAGTGAAAGGTCAACTTCACTACATCATCCTTCTTTGTCTTGTTATTTTTAATATGGCGCAAATATCTCTTGAAACACAAGTACTCATGCCCACTGATCACAGAAAAAAAAACAAAACATTAAAATCTTAATCACTGGCATTTTATTGTCACTAAACACTATCTCCTTCTGTGTTTTCAGTTTTGACACAGAACCTACCGGTCTCAGTGGAGGAGAACATGACGACGAAAGGCTCTCTGATGAAGGTGTCTGTTCCACACGGCTCACATCCATCATCATAGGTGTAGTTTTTTACCACAGATATTGTCTGCTCTCTGTGCAGGAAACACAAAACATTTCAAACTGTTCATTAACTTAGTGAACTGTGGTTATTGTGTTTCTCTTGAAGGCCAATAGAGGGCAGATTTACTCTATCTGAGTGGGTAAGTGAATGACAGTGTAACGTGTTATGATCTATTCTAGGGTATAAATGTGGGAAAGGAGGTCATAACACTGCTGTATTGATGATAAAGTGATACAAACATATGTTTTGTAATGCCTAACACAAGTAGAAAAGTAAGTATATGAATATACAGTACAGGCCAAAAGTTTGGACACACCTTCTCATTCAATGCATTTTCTTTGTTTTCATTACTATTTAAATTGTAGATTCTCAAAACTATGAATGAACACATGTGGAATCATGTGCTTAAGAAAAAAGTGTGAAATAACTGAAAACATGTTTTATATTTTAGATTCCTCAAAGTAGCCACCCTTTGCTTTTTTGATAGCGCTGCAAACTTTAGCTGTTCTCTCAGTGAGCCTCATGAGGTAGTCACCTGAAATGTTTTTTACTTCACAGGAGTGGCTGAAGTAACCCTGACAAGGTACTTCTGTCATCAAGAGCAAAGGGTGGCTATTTTAAAGAAACTAGAATATAAAACATGTTTTCAGTTATTTCACACTTTTTTTATAAGTACAAAATTCTACATGTGTTCATTCATAGTTTTAATGCCTTCAGTAATAATCTACAATGTAAATAGTCATATAAAAAAATAAAGAAAAGACATTGAATGAGAAGGTGTGTCCAAACTTTTGGCCTGTACTGTATATGATATATGTGTGAAGTGGAAGCTATCATGACCACTTCCTCCTTTATAAAATACACTTGGAGTGTACTATGCCTATTACTGTAAATGTCACTCAGCCATTCTTTAAATTTCAAGCAATACGACCTGGTGTTGCAATAATTCACAGAAAAATTAAAATGCTTTCTAAAATGAATAACATCTTGCTCTTTCTCCATCTCCCTCTGTCATCTCTCTAAAACAAATGCAGTCTCAGCAGATGGCTGTCTAACATGAGTCTGGTTTTGCTCGAGGTTTCTGCCTGTTAAAGGAAGTTTTTCCTCTCCACTGTAACTGAATAATTTTGGGAGTGGGTCTGATCTAACCAATCTTTACATTGGATTATTGTTAATGAAGTAGGTCTTTTTTTGACAAGTGTCTTGGGATAACACTTGTTGTAAACTGTATAAGTAAAGATTGATTGCTTGAAATATTTTTAGTTTGAGTTTTGTGGAGGATTGTCCACTTTCATTGATGTTCAGGACTTCACAGAAGAAAAAGATACAGGTGCAGAGCAGAGGAAAGTAAAGACTTAAAAAAGTTTGATTGTTGTGATGAGTTTGTTTTTGCCCCTCTGTGTACCTGTACAGGAAGAGATATCTCTCCTTATAGGAGCTGCGACCCAGAGGCTCACTGGTGATGTAATCATACCTGAACTGAGGAGAACCTCTGGGAAAACACACACAAATACACACATGAGATACATAGATAAGGGACATGAATGGTAGCTTTTTTGTGATTTTTTTTAAAACAAATTTTCATGTAATTTATTGAACATGGCTCAGACCATGATCATTCAACACTAAATGTTTGTGGTTAGTCTGACTTGTTGACATGCTCCATGAGTTTTTTGGTGGCCGACAGATCATTGTCTCTGACCTCCTGGATCAGAATGATGTCATAGCGATGGACGATCTGAAAAACAAAAACATGAACTTGTTTTCCAGGAAAAAAAATCATCTGTCTGAGTTATTTTACTTGACAGATAAGAAGCACTAAAGCAATAAAAAGGAGGTCAACCGCGGTAAGGCTCGTGCAACTACACAAAGCTTGTGTCTAAACAGCAGTGTGTCAAGAGAGATGTGGAATTAAGAGTTTGAAACTTAAAAAAAACCAAAAATATTGAATAAAAAAAAAGGAGGTAAGGTACTGTCTTTAATCCCTTCTCCAATTCCTTTTGGACAAAACAGAGCTTGCACCAAACCGAAAGCTTTGATTGAATTGGTAATGAGCTCAACTCTCTGCAAAGTCAAATTAACCTTATATTTCAAATGTTTAAGTATGTGATATAAAGAAAAAAAGAATAATGGCTGTAATTCCAGTTCCTGACCGTGCTGATGAGGTTCATCAGAGTCGTGTTGGAAGCTTTCTTGTCTCCGAATGACTTGATGTTGAAGGCACCCAACAACAGAGAGGCGGTCAAATGCAGCAGGGCCATAAAAAGACCCAACGTACACACCATCAAACGCATCCTGGGACAAAGAGGTCTGATGTGTGACAAAGAGCAAAAGCAATTTATAGTCCAAACTGATGGGATGAGAACTTTTCTGTTGAACGTGCATATATCCTGCATGAAACAGGAACCTGAACGTTTCGTTTTCGCTCAGCCACAGAGTGGGAGGTAGAGACAAACTTAACACCTGCACTCCTGGACACATGACAGCATGAATCTGTTCCTGTTTTTGTTTTGTTTTTTAACTGCAGGTTTGAGACTTAGATGCACTGTGTTCTCACAATGTAATTTGTGTTCGATCTCTCAGTCAAATATTTGTCAGGAAAGTGGATAATTTATCCTGTTACCATGGTGACACTGTTGCGGGAGTGTAAAATATGGACAGTAAAAGCAGCTGCTGTGGCGTTTTTACTTTTTCATACCCCTGACTGATTTGCAGTGTTACTGTTAAGTATACATATTGTCAGCCAGAGTTTGAACAAATTTTGTGAAAGAAGAAAAAGTATGGCATGCAGAAAAAAGATCTATTCTTTCTGAAGTAAAGAAGGGTTTGAAATGCAAACTTACCTTCCTCTGTGAGCCTGTGGGAACGATGAGGCCTGTTGCAGGAAGAGCACAGAAGTCTCCTGTTATGATTCCCTGGAGGCTTCCCTGAAACATCTGAGCAGAATCCCCACAAGGGTTTCCTGTACAAGGTTTTTTTTTTTAACCTACATGTGCATGTGACTCTGTTCAGCAGGGGAGTGCTGAAGAGAGGAGGTGTGTCATGGATGTGTGTTTTGTTATACCACCTGAGGGTATCAGGTATGATATGCTGTAAAATAATGAAGGTCATCTCCCCCGAGGGAAAACTAAATCCGGCAACAGTGTGATGTCCAAATTATGATAATTGCTAATGGAATCCAGTAGTATTAACTACTATATCTATATCTCTATATTCCACTTTTACATTAAGTTTGTGATAGTTGCATGTAAATGCGCCGAAAATTGTATTGAGATGATTGTTTTCTGAGCTGCATCTGGATCTGACATTGATTGTGACTTAACATAAATGAGAACAAAATCCTAGTGTTTATGCACTAACGCTGACACTGCCAATGTGTCTGCACAACAACAAATGCATCTTTAAAATGGTTGCATGGGGACATACAATTAAATCAACACATTAACATTGCAGTCCCAATCTTGTTTAACATGACAATATAAACATTTGTGATGTTATTTGTTGTAGTTATGATTTAAACTGGTCAAGCCACACTCTCCTTTTGAACTGGAGCGTTCAGGTGATCAAAAGACTATTTTTACCTGCAGTGTTTGCAGAAGCATTGAGAAGGCAGCAGGTGGCAAGAACAGGTGATAAAGATACTTGTTTGAATTGCATTAGTATTTAGTGTTTTTGTTTTTATTTTTTACATTCTAAACTATCCTCAAAAGTCATATCTTTCGGCACAAAAACCTTCTTTACTGTAGGGTGAAAAAATTCTTAATATTGTGTTGAATCTACTTACAAATGTCGCTCAGTTCTCAAAATATTATGGATACCAAAAACATGTCAGAAAAAGGCTGATATAATGTGCTTCTGTTCTAAGAGCATTTTAAGTAAAGTCAATTTCACAGTATTACACATCTGTAAAATCTCAGTGGTAGTTTTTTTTTATGATTCAACTTTTTATTCTGTTTTGTAAGTATTTAAACATAAATCACAAAATTCACCATTTGTTCTGAAATTTCAAATTGGGCTGTAAACAAAAGCCTATAAAGGCAACGCAAAACAACCAAAGACAAAGTAAACTAACAAACCTAACCGACAAAAAAAGGTCAGGTTAAAGTAAGTGGGTTCCATTGGGCACGGTGTTATAGTTAGGTAATGTGCACTGCCTGAGAGGGGCGTGGTCAGACAACTCATTAGCATTTAAAGCCAAAGACATAAAAACAGCTCCTCTGAGCAGGGCTGAAACCAGAGCAGTGGATTAAACAGAGTGGCGACAACTTCAGATCTCGCCGCCAGAGCGGTCACGTGGTTCATGTACCCCTCCATAGTTCCAAGCGCAGTCTGCACTGTCCATGCTCTTCAACGGGACAGACTGCAGTGAGCGTGCATTTAAGAGGTAAATATTAAAATTAACCGTAAAAAGTCAACATTTGCAACTCTTATTGGATTACTGTGTACACGTCAAAGTCACGTACGTATATTTAGTGGATGACTAGTAAAAGTGAAATAAGACAAGTTTGGGTACAGGTGTTACTTTTTAATAAGAGAAAATAATACAATAAAGTGGTAAGTAACAGGTGTTACAAGCTGTTTAAACAATTGTGCAATGTTTTGGTCTTACAGCATGGCCTGCATAACATTTTTCCATGTTTAATCCACTGCTCTGCTTTGATGTTGACTAAAACCACAGGAAATTACACAATTTTAACCTGGAAACGCCATAAAATCTCAACTTTTTACCTGATTAATGCATTCGAAGTTATTTTTAACATTTTTTTTGCCTACCTTGAGGTATATTTGAGATTAATGTTTGACAGAAATGTAGAGTTCTTCAACACAGAGGCGTACTGCATTTATTTGAGGATAAAACTGCTCTTGTTTCCTGAATTAACAAGAATTATATCTCAGAATTAACTAAAACATTTTTTGGGGAAAAAAAGTTCTTTTTTTATATAGTTAACAAAAATAATCATGTTAGAATTAAAAGAGGAACTTCAATTTGTAAAAGAAAACTATCTATCTTATGGCTATCTATCTCTATCTTATGGCTTTTTAGCAGGGGTCATGGTCTGCTCCAGGTTTTCTGCCTTCTTAGTGAGACGGTTTCTTCTGTGCCACTCTAACTTTCTAAATGCTGAAAGGTGCTCTGCTTATGGTACATTAAGATAAGACTGAGACTTATGATATAAGATTAGAATGAATCTTATCCTACAGTGATGTTGGCATGACATAGAACTGATTTATAACTCCACTTGCATCCAGATATGTGAATAAGGATGTCAGCTGCATAAAAATAACATTTAATTCAGTCAAGTAATATGAAGATTTTACATAAATTTCCTACTTCACTCTTATTTTTCTAAATTATAATTGTGCAGTTACTTAGAAAGTGATTTACTAAACAATTTTGTAACAGCACACCTATTCCAGCTAACAACAAGCCTCCAAAATAGGCAACAAAATGTACAGAGACCAGGCTGTGAACCAATTCCAGTGAAAAACAGCCTGAGGGAAAACCAGGAAAACTCAGCAGGATTGATATTTTTTAGCTCGGATATAAGAATCCATCACTGCTTTTGTCAACATTCAGTCATATCAGCATGAATAAAACCATGAAATCTGGTGGCATCCCTAAAAAGACTTTTTTTTCCTTCACACAATACTGTTAATAAATCAAACACGATTAAAAGGTCTTTCTTTCTTTTTATGTTTTTGCTGAGTGGCAGAAGACACAGGATCAGGATCATTCATGTAACTCAGAAATAACTCCGATAAAAATCAAATCAAATCAATTTTTATTTATATAGCACCAATTCACAACAGTTGTAAGACGCTTTTCAAGGAACAAGAGCAGGTCTAGACCATGCTCATTGTTTGATGATCAAGAACCAACCTAAGATGGGTTTTGGCCCATCTCAACTAACATGAGTAGCAGTGGCAAGGAAAAACTTCCTTTTAACAGGCAGAAACCTTGGGCAGGACCAGCCTCATGTTAGACAGCCACCATGCCGCTGCTGGGTTGGGGAGGAATGTGGAGAGAAGAGGGTAGAGGGGAGAGGACAGGGGGAGAGAGAGAGAACAAGATAAGGGAAGGCGAGAGAGAATGAGTGAGTCTGCAGCAACAGTCCAGAGGAGCCAAAGAGATGGGGGAGCTCAGGGCCCAGGGTGGACAATCAGGGATAATGCAGCTGGGGTCAGGCAGTTCCGCAGCAGACCGTCTGCAGCATTAGTCAAGTGGCAGCTAAGAGACTCAGAGACACTCAGAAAGACAGAAAACTGGCTAGTGAATTATATGGGACATAAAGATCTAAAGAAGAGATAGAGACAGACTCTAGATCAGTGTGCCAGATAGCCCTGTCTAAAAACAATGATTATGAGGGCAAAGTTTTTCCTTTCTTTTTTCTTTTTCTTTCTTTTTTTCTTTTTTCTTTCTTTCTTTTTTCTTTCTTTCTTTTTTTTCTTTCTTTCTTTTTTCATTTTTTCTTTCTTTTTTTTCTTTCTTTTTTCTTTTTTTTACTTTCTTTTTTCTTTTTCTTTTTTTTTCTTTTTTCTTTCTTTCTTTTTTTCTTTCCTTTTTCTTTCTTTCTTTTTTCTTTTTTCTTTCTTTCTTTTTTCTTTCTTTTCTTTCTTTCTTTTTACTTTCTTTTTTCTTTCTTTCTTTTTTTCTTTCTTTTTTTCTTTTTTCTTTCTTTCCTTTTTCTTTTTTCTTTTTTTCTTTCTTTTTTCTTTTTTTCTTTCTTTCTTTTTTCTTTTTTCTTTTTTTTTTCTTTTTTCTTTCTTTTTTCTTTTTTTCTCAGAGAGACAGGAGGAGAGGGAGAGAAAGAGGGAGAGACAGAAGAGGAGTGAGAGTGACTTACCTGGTTGAGCTTGGGGGAGGAGAAATGTGGAGGGCCGTCCATCGGTGGGACCTTCCTCAGTAACAGCCTAGG